TGAGGCCAGCCTGGGCTACATGAGAGCCTGTCTCCCTCCTCCCCCCTCCCCCCCCAAATATATATATCAAAAAATAAAACACAAAATGAACTGGACATGGTGGCCTACATCTGTAATCCCAGTACTTGGGAGCTGAGACAGAAGGATCACATGTCTGACATCAGCTTGAGCTACATTAGTGAGACTCTGTATTTAAAAAAAAAAAAAAGAGAAAGAAAGAAAGAAAGAAAGAAAGAAAGAAAGAAAGGAAGAAAGAAAGAAAGAAAGAAAGAAAGAAAGAAAGAATTCCATGCATTCTATTGGAGCACAATGCAATAAAGCTCAAAATCAATACTAGATAAAGCCCTAGTCACTACATGAACTCCTGGTGATTAAACAACACACTCTTAAACAATGAGTGGGTCAAAGAAGAAATTAAGAAAGAAATAAAAGAATTCCTGGAATTCGATGAAAAGGACAATACAACACAGCACAACCTCTGGGACACTTTAAAAGCAGTCCTAAGAGGGAAGTTTATAGCTCTAAGTGCCTACAAAAAAAAAAATTAGAAAGAGCCCAAATAAATGACCTAATACTGCAACTCAAAATGCTGGAAAGGCAAGAACAAATGAAACCCAAACCCAGCGGAAGAGAAGAAATAACAAAAATCAGAGCAGAAATTAATGAAATAGAAACAAAACAATACAAAGAATCAATGAATCTAAGAGCTGGTTCTTTGAAAAGCTAAACAAGATAGACAGACCTTTAGCCCATTTTACCAAAAGAAAGGCCAAATCCAAATCAACAAGATCAGAGATGAAAGGGGAAACATCACAACAGACACCCAAAAGATCCAGACCATTATAAGGGAATATTTTAAAAACCTATATGCTACTAAATCTAAAAGTCTAAAAGAAATGGATGGATAGCTAAAATCATGGGAACCACCAAAGTTAAACCAAGAGGAGATCAACATTTTAAACAGACCCATAACATATAAGGAAATTGAAAAAGTAATACAAAGCCTTCCAACTAAAAAAAGCCCAGGCCCAGATGGATTTACAGCAGAATTCTACCAGGCATTTAAAGAAGACCTCCAGCCAATACTACTTAAATTATTCAAAATGATAGAAACAGAGGGAGAACTCCCAAATTCCTTCTAAGAAGCCAGCATCACTCTAATACCCAAAGTGGGTAAAGACAAACCAAAGAAGAAAACTATGTATCTTTAATGAACATAGATGCAAAAATTCTCAATAAAATACTTGCAAACCGCATACAGACAAACATCAAAAAGATCATTCACTGTGACCAAGCAGGCTTTATCCTAGAGATTCAGGACTGGTTCAATATACGCAAGTCAATAAGCATCATTAATCATATAAATGGACTCAAAGACAAAAGACACATTGTCATCTCAATGGATGCAGAAAAGGCTTATGACAAAATATAGCATGCATTTATGTTCAAAGTCCTAGAGGGAATTGGACTGGAAGGAACATACCTCAACATAGTTAAAGCAACCCATAGCCAATATCATTCTTAATGGAGAAAAACTGGAAGCATTCCCATTAAAATCAGGAACCAGACAAGGATATCCCCTATTTCCACTGCTTTTCAACACAGTGCTTGAAATTCTTGCTAGAGCAATAAGACAGGAGAAGGAAATTAAAGGAGTTCTAATTGGAAAAGAAGAGGTCAAACTATCACTTTTTGCAGATGGTATGATACTATACCTAAGAGATCCCAAAAGTTCCAACAGAAAACTCCTAGAACTGATCAACACTTTCAGTATAGTGGCAGGTATTAAA